GTAATGAGGGTGAAAGAGGAGAGCGCAAAATATGGTCTGAAGCTCAACATAAAAAAACCTTAGATCATGGCCATTGGTCTCATCACTTCCTAGCAAATAGAAGGGGAAGATACTGTATTAAGGCAGTGCCAGATTTTACTTTCTTGGGCTCCATGATCACTGCAGATGATGACAGCAGCCACGAAATTAAAAGACACCTGCTTCTGGGGAGGAAAGCGATGACAAACCTTGACAGCATCTTAAAAAGCAGAGATATCACCGCATAGTCAAAGCTATGGTTTTTCCAGTAGTGTTGTATGGAAGTGAGAACTGGACCATAAAGAAGGCTGGCCGCCAAAGAATTGATGCTTTCGAATCGTGGTGCTGGAGGAGACTCTTGAGAGTCCTCTGGACTGCAAAGAGAACAAACCTATCCATTTTGATGGAAATCAATCGTGAGTGCTCACTGGAAGGACAGATCCTGAAGCTGAGGCTCCAATACTTTGACCATCTCATGAGAAGACTCCCTGGAAAAGACCCTGATGTTGGGAAAGTGTGAAGGCAAGAGAAGAAGGGGACAACAGAAGACGAGATAGTTGGACAGTGTCACTGAAGCTACTAACATGAATTTGACCGAACTCCGGGAGGCAGTGAAAGACAGGAAGGCCTGGTGTCCTCTGGTCCATGGGGTCATGAAGAGTCAGACACGACTTAACAACTAAACAACAAAATAGAAGCTTTAACTGTACAGGCAAAAATGGTACAGGTATTTGCAAGCTGCTCTCAGATGACAAGCACACACCTTAATGCTAGAAGCAACCAGCCAGTCACCTCTGACTGATTTCATTCTAGAAGGACGAAGTTTACATTTTTATCTTTTACTTTTGTGCAAAATACCTTTTACTTCAGTTCTTTTGGTAAAAAGACAGCTCCTGGCTGCGGAGACTTCAAATCCATTGGAAAAAAATCCTTCCACGAGAAAAAGTCAAGGGACTTTTTTAAAAATAGCCCCTTCCTTTGGAGGAAAACCTCTCCCCACACAGTGTGTGAGACAGTGTGTAAATTACTGTTTTGTCTTTCAAGTATCAGGTTCCGTTCTCCAGTTGTTTTAATCTATTAAGACCTCTTTCTGTGTTTCAATAAATACTCTATTTTTCTATGATTGTTTTTTGTTCTATACAAGAAAGCAAAGTTCATAGCAATTTTACCACTGAATAACTTTCATATCTTTTGCAATATTTTAGAATTAAGAATGCAACATCAAACAATTAAGAAATTCCATCCCGATTTTTTTAAAAGAATCCTGATTAACCAGGCTAGCTCTTGGTATGGAACAAACCAGGATCTGAAACCCCCTTGCAGTGCATTTACCTAAAACCAAGTCTCACTACTTTCAGTGGGGCATGATCCCAAGAAAAAGCTGCAGAGTAGCACAGTCTCATTTTCATTAACTTGAGTGAAAACTGCTAACCACAGTTCTCAGTTCAGACGTCATCAGGAACTGTGGTCTGTTGAGATCCACCAGCAAAATTTAATTTTCTCATGGCCATTAAAGAGGAGACAAGAATGAAAGGGCATGCCATCTAAAAGATGGAGCAGTCTTCACTGTATAATGGCAAGTCAGAATTTCCCACTATTTCTGAACCAGGTTATGTCTTGGTAGTGTGAAATGGATTTCAATGTTTTCCTTCCCTCTTGGGTTACCATCTTTTTTAAAGGATTAAAGACTCAATTCCTGATTTACTAATGAGAGGCTGCAATTTATTCTTTTCTCCTTAAAAAGACGGAGTAACTTTGGAAAAGGTTTCTACCAAATTGCTTTTAAATACAGGACTATTAACAGAAACATTTGTCAGAAATACCTTGCTGTTTTTCCTCCTCCTCCTCCTCACTTGATGAAGCCAAGTAGGCTTGGAAGTCCATGTCTAGCAGTTCATCTTTTTTAAAGGTTCTGCTCAGTGATGTCACTCTTTCATGATCTGTCTCATCCCATGTGATATCTACCTTAGAGTGAAACAAAGAACTTATATTTTGCATCCACCACTGTAGACAAACATTTTACAATCACACATACTTAAAGCTGTGCACATTCATTTTGGCTTAAACAAACAAACCAAAGCCTACCCTGGAGGTGGGCCATAAAAGACTCAAAGATTAGCATTCAGAGCTCTAATTTACAACTGTCAGCAACTTTTGCTGTATGCTAAGAGACTTCAGAGTTGCCCTCTACTCAACATCTGCACAATTTTACTATAATAAAATATGGAGTGCAGAGGCTTTGGATGGGAACTTGTGTTTGCAGAGGGGGCAGAACAGAGACACACTCTCCTTGTTGAATATTGCTACAGTTCTGATCTCTACTGGGTACACCAACTGATAAGAGACTACCAATAAACATTCCTTCACTCTTCATATTTCGTCTATTTCAACCTTGCCAAAACCTTGAAATATTTTGGTTATAATGAGAACACTGTCACAGCTGGGGCTGGAGACATTGTACGACAGGAGAACTTGTTTCTTTGGAAAAGGACATGAAGCAAGTCACGAGGACATCACTCTAAGGCATGAAAGAGCTTGCCCAGAGCATCTCCAGTTGCTGCATCTTCTCCAGGCTAAGTACGCTAAACTAGGTTTTGTGGGATCTGCATGGGATCGCTGTCTGAGCTATAAATTATGCTGCCGACGGTCTGAATACCATAGCTGTTATGAGCTCACCTACACAAGCAATGGCTCTCTTTCTCTAAACTATCCTCCACAATCTGGAAATACCAAAATGACAATGATAATAATTTATCTTTCACAGTTAATTGACCTTTACAGGAATGTAAGCCAAATACTGGTATGAATTACTGACAGTGATAATCACCTGTCTTTCAAGGCTGACATCACTCTTACAGCAATGGATGTCAAATACTGGTACAAACAGCACTTGCATTTATATAACATTCTGCGCTACACAAATGCTATGTATTCTTTGGAATGTGGAAACAATGAGTTGCCAAAAACAAACCCCTCACCACTGTAATTAACTAATCTTCCCTCTAATTAAGGGATAATTCTATCATCTTATGACTGCAACTGAAGAAGAGGTCACTTCACTCCTTCTGGACTGTAATGGCCCTTTCTGAGTTACCTTTAGAATTCTGGGAGAATGCTACAGTTGTGTGCAGTTGAGCATTTCAAAGCAAAAACAACAGGCCAAGAAGGCATTTTAAATGCAGCAAGCACAAAAGTAAAGAAACTACAAAATATATTCTAAAGCCTCTTTATTCTCAGTCAGCATTGCCAAATTCACGGGTGGACATATTTTGTACTCCAGGGCACAGGGTACCCAGGACTATAATGTATCGTGACTGTACTTCTTCCTTTTGACAACTGCATCAACCCAAGTAGATCCTTTTGCCCATCCATCTGCTCTACCATCACTGTTATACTTACACAATTTACAAACCGAGAACACATAAAAGTAAACAAGCTCTGAATGGCTACAAAAACATGGTTAGGGTACCTTTGATGTTGCCACAGCAGCAGATGTGAAGTACTTTGGTTTATAAGCAGCTCCATCTACTTCACAGGCCAAGTCCTTTGGCTCATCATCAAATATCATCTCATCTGGAACAAATCTTAAAAGTCAAAGGAAAATGATTTATTATTAAAACAGATATCATGAGGCTTCAAAGGAACAAAACTGATAGGTCTCTAATTGCTCTTAGCTGTGAGAAAAACATTTGTTGTTCACTCCATAGCTGAGAGAAAAAAGGCTGACAGACAAAGATGTCACCTTTCACTCAGCAGAGGGAACATCCCATCGGCTCTGGTGCAGTTCCACTAGAACAGCAGTTCCCCAAGAAGTTCTTGGACCGGAACTCCTACAAAGTTGTGACGCACATGTCCATAAATTCAGTGTACCTTAGAACCTCAGAGATAACATTCTTCAAGCATACCAACCTCCAATCTTAAAAATAGGGGACAGATACGTAGGAGAGGGTACAGATGACACCACAGATACAGCTTGATTGTGTCCCTAGCAAGCATACTCACTGGTTTAGACTGAGCCAATGAGAATTAGAATTCAAAAATATCTAAAAGAACACACATTCCACACCTTTGATTTAAACTAAGGAACGTAACAGGGGACAGGAAGCAACAGTTAGAACTGGATATGGAACAAATGATTGGCTAAAAATTGGGGAAGGAGTACAACAAGGCTGTATATTGTCCCCCCGGCTTATTTAACTTATATGCAGAATACATCATGCGAAAGGCCAGACTAGAGGAATCTCAAACCAAAATGAAGATAGCCGGAAGAAATATCAACAACCTCCGATATGCAGATGATACCTTTCTGATGGCAGAAAGTGAGGAGGAATTAAAAGAACCTCATAATGAGGTGAAAGAGGAGAGTGCAAAAAAACGGTCTGAAGCTCAACATCAAAAAAACTAAGATAATGCCCACTGGTCCCACCACCTCCTGGCAAATAGAAGGGGAAGATATGGAGGCAGTGACAGATTTTTTGGGCTCCATGATCACTGCAGATGGTGACAGCAGCCACGAAATTAAAAGACACCTGCTTCTGGGGAGGAAAGCGATGACAAACCTCGACAGCATCTTAAAAAGCAGAGACATCACTTTGCAAACAAAGGTCCACATAGTCAAAGCTATGGTTTTTCCTGTAGTGATGTATGGAAGTGAGAGCTGGGCCATAAAGAAAGCTGACCGCTGAAGAATTGATGCTTTTGAATTGTGGTGCTGGAGGAGATGCACGAGAGTCCCCTGGACTGCAAGGAGATCAAACCTATCCATTCTGAAGGAAATCAACCCTGATTGCTCACTGAAAGGACAGATCCTGAAGCTGAGGCTCCAATACTTTGACCATCTCATGAGAAGAGGAGACTCCCTGGAAAACACCCTGATGCTGGGAAAGTGTGAAGGGGACGACAGAGGATGAGATGGTTGGACAGTGTCATCGAAGCTACCAACATGAATTTGACCCAACTCCTGGAGGCAGTGGAGGACAGAAGAGCCTGGCGTGCTGTGGTCCATGGGGTCACAAAGAGTCGGACACGAATAAACAACAACAAGCAACTTAAGACAGCCACCATGTACAGATATTCCATGTTTCATATAGATTTAGTAAAGCAGGTTTCAAATTGTGCTTGGCCACAAAATCACTAGTATGCCACAGGCATGTTGACTCCCCCTCCATCTCACAGATCATAGGCAATATCATGTGAACAATCTTCCACTCATGCAAGTGGACTTCCCAATGCATTTATCCCCCTACATGCTCTTGAAATCACGTGAGAGGAGTTTTTAAATGGACTGTTGTTTTCTGTTGTTTTAAATGTCTTAATATTGATTTTATTTACTGCTTTTAATATTCTGTCTTATGTATGGCTTGATGCCATAACAATAAAGTAGGTATGTATTTATGTACTGCTTTTAATATAATACTTGTTTAATTCTTTTTAAAAATTTGTATATTTACTGTTTTTAGCTTTTAAATATTGATGACGTAAGCTGTCTTGGGTCCTTTTAAAGGAAAAGGGCAGGATAAAAATATTTAAAATAAAATAAAATAAATAAATAAATGCCTTTCAAGAAGACTCTCTAATTTTCTAGTGATGATCTGTAGGGTATGTGGGAAAAGTACACAGAACAGAAGGTATCTATTTCACTTGAAATAGCTGTACTTTTAGTTGAAAAACCTCATTGGACACAATGGCCTACAGCGGACCCTTGACTTACAGACGGTTTGACTTACAGACTTTTTGAGTTACAGACTTCTCTGGCCGCAAAATTTAGGTTTGACTTGCAGACTGAGATTTGACTTACGGACCAGAAAAAAACCAAAATGGAACAAAAACAGCCTGTTACGGGGTTAATCGGTTTTCAATGCACTGTAGGTCAATGGAGACTTGACCTACCGACTTTTTGACTTGAGAACCGCCTTCCAATATAGATTAAGTTCTCAAGTCAAGACCCCACTGTATCTCTAAAATAAGAATGGTGAAAGTCTTCACTGAGCTGTTAAAAAGCAGGGGGCAACAATCAAACTCTCTACTGTGTTAAAGAACTGCAAAACTGCATGTCCTAGAACAACAGAGGTCCCAGTTATTGTACCAAACACATCAACAACCATCAGAAGTATCAACTTTTGGATCTGCCCATCTTCTTTAAGCCCATTAAGAGGCTGCTGACGTTTTAAGACTTTCAGAACAGATCTTATTTCTATCAATTTCTAAAGTGCATCTGCCACTTCCATAGTCTGTGATCATTCACAGATTGTGGAAGGCCAATCCAACCCCTTCTTTGACAATCTTCTGCTTGATAACAAATTGCTTCAAATTACACTATACAGAGACTTTTTTAAAAATACAAAGCCAAATGCATATTTTAATCAAAGAAAAAAGAAAATAAGGATTCCTATTTAAATTGATCTTTTGACTACAGGATGACTCAAAGGCAGTGTACCTTACTGTACAGATAGCTGTGTCTGCCTTGATATTTTGTATTTCATGTTGCATTTTTATTGTTATCTACCTTAAGCATCAATTGGTAGAAATGAAGCTTAAACACATCCTTTTAAGTTAACAAACAAACAAGCAGTGGCTGAAATCCTGTTGCTTTGTCATACATGAAGAAAGCAAACAGCCTATCATTCACTTTCTTCCGGGTGACAATTAACAAGTCCCTGCTGGGATTCTCCAGTATATACCAAGCCAGCAGGTGCCCCAGAGAATGGCAGTGCTGACTCATTAATGGCCATCTAGAAGAAAGTAAATGATATGACATTTGCATTTTGTGTGCATAACAAAGCAACAGGATTTCAAGCCAATGCCTACCCATTGTTAGCTAGCCTAGCTTTGGTATCTCCTTAATAAGTTGGACTGAAAGTGACTGGCCGCAGGCCATTTGACAACAGCTTCACAGCTGAACAACAGGATTTCAAGCCAATGCCTACCCATCATTAGCTAGCCTAGCTTTGGTGGTTATCTCCACTTCGGACTGAAGTGACTGGCCGCAGGCCATTTGAGAACAGCTTCACAGCTGAGAGAGGATATAAACTTGGATCTTCTCAATCCTAGTCCAACACTATGACTGCTATGCCACACTAACTCACACATTAGTATGCAATATTAGATATTTTTAAAAAGTTTAGTAACCACAATAATCTATACCTGAGGTCCACAAAAGAGCAGCTGCTTTCAAATTCCAGTCCATCACATTCTTCATAGATTTTATTAGCTGTTTCAGGGGAGTCACATTCTACCACTGCATAGTAATATTTCAGTCGTTTGAACTGATAGTCTCTTAGTTTCTCCTTATAAATGCTACAATAAGAGGAAAAAAGGCCAAGGACTGTTAGCGAGACAAATAAATCATGAACCAATGTACTGCAATCTAATTCCTTCACTGTCCACATGTAAAGTATCATGAGGTCAAAGTATAATCTCTCATCAAAGCTCTATGAACCAAATGGCAGACATTCTTTCTCCTTTTGATATCACAGAAATAAGAAGTGAGCTTATATCAGAGGTGGGAACATTGAGAGTTCTCATTTTCCATTGTGCCTCCCTTATAAGCCTATTATCTGCTTGGAGTTTCCAGGAATTGATGTCCCAAAATCTAGCAGGCCAGAAGGTTGCCAACCACAGCTTCCGGTACCTTAGACATTAAGAACTATATCCTAATGCTGATAACATACTTGCAGTAATAAAGATCTTATATTACAAACAATGCATCTTCTACGCAGAAGCCATAGGCCAAGATCTCAGAAGTTGCTTTAGTTGCACCTAAGGTATTGCTTGTACCTAGAGGGGCTTTTTAAAAATTATTCTTATGCTTCCTTTCTTTGAATCACAGCTCCCCTTGCCAGAACTTTCAAATACAGCTTTTTATGCTCCATTAGGAGCTACTGTTTGAATTATACAAGTTTAGAGTTAAACTAGACTTGCCAAACTCTTGGTACAATACTTTGAATCCTGGTTGAGTTTAACGTACCTTTCTTGGTGACTACTTAGAAATATAAAATCAACACACAGGTGTCCCATGGAAAAGTGGGCATGCCTTAAAGCTCATAACCTAATCAAAAATACTGCAGATATGTCAACTAAAAGAAGGGTTTTAAAAATATTATTACCAATAAGCAGTAGCATTGGTATCACCATACTTGCTTTCCAGAAAGGAACATAAGAGTAATTTTTCTGATACCTTGTTCAAGACAAAGCAAATTCATCTCTGCCTTGGAAATTAACATCCCTCAAGTTTTCCCAGAGGAAAAAAACACCACCAACCTCTTCTCCACAACTTATTTGTCACTGTTATCCTCACTCCACAAAAAATATGAGGATTGATCAAACAAATTTAAGAGCTACAGTAACCAAAGGGGCATAAATGTGTTCTCTGAAGCAGGATGTTAAATATAGATGAAATTTTCATCATGCTAACAACTAAAGTTTTTCAGATTTTTAGTACTGTATTGAACTTAGCTTACTAGTGATGCTGCCCTTCTATGGAGAAAGGTTCCATCTAGTGGTGGAAACCCATTATATAACAATAGATGATTTTTTACGATGTAAAAGGTGTAACACTCATTTGTAATTAGACAGTCCCTGCTGAGATACTCAAGCACACTCCAAGCCAGTGGGATCTTGAGCCCCCAAGACTCCCAACAGTGACTAATTAATGGCTGGCTAGGAATTAGTGAATATTACACTTTTTGCTTTCTGCAGGTGTAACACAGCAACAGGATTTCAGCCTATATTTAACTACATACTGATGTTCCAGGGTCATCATGCTCCAGCAAATGTATGCACTCTAGTCAGAGATGTAGTTGCTTCTAACTCATGTTTAAGCAACATCTCTTTCATATATTAAATTGGTAAATGCACATGGTTTTTTACACACTGTTCAACATCTTAAGTTTCCATTAAATGATCCATTTTAGAAATTAACAGGAAGCTGTAATTTCATATTGTGCAAAGCACTTAATGAAAGAAAGCACCTATTACCCAAGATCAGATAATATGGGCAACTATGATTTGATAAAAATTGGTAGTAAACTGTTCCTTTCCCATTAAACAGCAGCTCATTCGTGGTTTCTTGCTATGCCTGAACCCTACTGTCCTACAACGATACTCTCGGTCTGACAAAAGTCAAGAGCATCATCATGACATCAAATCAATACTGTAGCTCTTAAATGATTAGTTTGAAACAGTCTGTAGTTTTCAGCAAAAAGATTAATCAAAGTGCTGCTAATAACAATTAAATAATGACCATAGTCCCGTTATTTATGCTCATTGTCATAAGTCCATTGGTGTTCATTCAGTATATAGGCATCTGATATTGTGCATCGGTCACACAACTCAGTGCACAAAGCTGACCTGTTATACAAGGCTGATATGAAAATGCAGGTAATACCTCTAAAACACAATGAACAATCTGAAGTGCTGAATGAACTGCAGCCTCTGAGAGTAGCAAATCAATAAACTGCAACTAGAGCTTGTTTTGCTGCACAGTTATTTCTGGTGAACCTGATCACACTATCTAATTTTGGGGAGAAAAATACAATTTTTATTACTTAACCTTGAACATACAATTACATTGCCCAATGGTTGTTTTATACATTTCTATAATTCTTAACACACTATGTTTGTTCCAGATTTGGTCATGCTTAGAAAAGAACAGCTGAAACGAATGGATCTTAACTTCATCAAAACTGACTTGTGCCCTAGATTTTGATGGGTCTAAACATAGCTAATTCTAGCTCTAACAACACTATACACTCACAATTACTGTGACCCTTTCCTTTATTGTTTGCTTGCAATAGGTACTGATTGCAATAGGAAATAAGGAGGAATGTATTGAAGGTGCCTATTCTAAGAAGTCTCCTCCTCCCTTTGAATTCATACGATTAAAACCTAAGAATATGCACATCAAAATAAGTGAACATACAATTTTGGACTTAGAAGGATAGAAATTTCATAAACATTTAATACCTGTCTTTCTCTGTGACATCCTCCGGAAGGCTTAATAGTTCTGTTGGGCCATTCACTACTTCTTCTTTCATTCTTTGTTTTCCAAACTCAGAAGGATAGATCTAAAAGCAATAAAAGATGTAGAAGCAAAGATGTAAATCTAGAAGCAATAAAAATATTGTATCAAAATATTGGGAGCATAGCCTTTAACTTAAAATAAACTGTTTCCACTATTTTCCGCACTACCCAAATCATTGCCTCCAAGCAGTGAGAGGGGTCATGTCCTGAAGTAGGCAGGGACAGTACACAGTGCACAAGTTGACTCCAACATGATTGATCATGCACTCAGGTGTTCTAGCTTTCTCTGTCACACACATACTCCTCCAGAATCCTCCCTCCACATTTAGGGCTTTAAAAACAAAAACCAAAAACCCACCTTCCACCGGCATCAACAGTATTCTCAAAAATCTAATTGTGGCTCAGGGCAGGCAATATTTTGCAGGGAGGAGGTTAAAGTACTGAGGAATAATAAGTCAACCTTCTCTTCCCCAGCAACAATCCACCCCAAATCTCTCTGTATGCAATTAAGTTTGAAGAAAGTATCCACTGGTACCAAGAGAGGCATTCTGAAGAGCCTAAATACAGCACAGGAGGAAGGGAGCAGGACAAATATTTTATTGTATTCTTGAAGGCTTTCGTGGCCGGGATCTGATGGTTGTTGTGGGTTTTTCGGGCTCTTTCGTGTGTTCTGAAGGTTTTCGTGGCTGTGTTCTGAAGGTTGTTCTTCCTGACGTTTCCCCAGTCTCTGTGGCCGGCATCTTCAGAGGACTGGAGTAGGAACTCAGTCCATGCTGTTGCTGTTTGTTGGATAATTGAGTATTTATAGCTGCGGGAACAGTTTTAGTCCTTTTCAGGAGATAGGGTGATGTTGGTGATCAGTGTGTTTTTGTTGTGGATGTATTGTTATGATAAGAGGGAGAGATTATCTGTCACTGTGATTGATGGGTGTCTTTAGCTGGTCTTTTTTGTGCAATGATCCCTGGTCCTTGTGGCTGGGTAGAGTTCGTTGACCTTTTGCAGACTGTATTTTTCAGTGCTGGGAGCCAGGCCTTATTTAGTTTTAGACTTTCCTCTTTTTTGTTGAAGCTCTGCTGGGGTTTATGGATTTCAATGGCTTCCCTGTGCAATCTAACATAATTCTTGCTGGTGTTGCCCAGCCCTTCAGTATTTTGAAATGGAATTTCATGTCCAGCTTGTTTTAGGGCATGTTCAGCTACTGCTGATTTTTCTGGTTGTTTTAGTCTGCAGTGTCTCTGAGAAGGAGAGAAAGAGAGTGTGCCGTCCTCCGCAATACAGAGTATAGAGGAAGGGGAGGGATGTGTAGGAGTGCTGGTGGAAACAGAGCAGGGACCAGTAGAGGAGCAAAAGAGATTGGAGGTGTGTCTAGCTGAAGATAGAGGGGAGGAGTTAGACCTGATCATCTGGGAGGGGGACTTAAAAGAGATGGAAAGCGCGCGAAGTTTTAACATCCTAACGGGCACTCATCCCGACAAGAAGGACCGGCCAGTGCAGACGGAGTGGAGCACCGGACAGGAGGGCTTCTCGACTTTAATCCGAGAATTCCCAAACCTACAGGTGGGCAGAGGACTCCTGCCAGACTCCAAGGACTTACGCACGTGTGAGGGGGAATTGGAACCCTTGGAATGGACAGTACTGGTGTACCCCCGCAACCAGCGTGGGGGGGGGAGGATGATCCGTCCCAATCCTTTACTCCAGCCTCAGCAAGAGGGAGACTGGGCGAGACACCCTTGTTGTGGGACAGTGTGTGCAGTGAGAAGCACCCCCTTGAGGCCCATGACCAACAAGGAACGATTTGGTATGGCTCCTCTGTAAGAACGGACATACAAACACCTGATGTGAAGGTGCAGCGTTATCGTCCTTTGCCCAAGTTTCATGGATCCGTTTGAGCCTATGGAATTAAGTTTGTTCTCCAATAAATCCAGTTATGTTAAAAATACAGAAGAGCCTCCGACTCTCATTCCGGCGCCAAACCAGGGGTTGCACACGGCAACCAACGAACCCAATCGTGGATTCATCGTTAAACGGGGCGCCCGTTATGCGAGGCACCACTGTATATCCCTGGCCACAACTGCAAGGTATCCAGTATACTCCTGCAGTGGTGAGGGGGTACCTTTTGTCCATTGCTGACTGTAACATTTGTTGTATTTTTGTGGTGGGCTTGAATACTGTTTGTAAGTTGCATTTTTTCAAAAGTTTCCCCATGCAGTCCATGACCCTTTTCATGTATGGCAGAAATACTTTATTTGTGGGTGGCTGTTTTTCTTCTTCAGTTCAGTATTGTTTTCTCAGTTTGATGGCTTTTGTGATTTCATTCCTGGAGTAGCCATTTGCCTGCAGGGCCCAATTCAGATGGTTGAGTTCAGTGCTGAGAAACTGAGCTTCACAGTTCCGGTTTGCACAGTCTACCAGAGTTTTGATTATGCCTACTTTTTGTTGTGGGTGGTGGTTGGGTTTTCTGTAGACCTTGTGTCTCAATAGGTCAGTTTTGTGTATGGCCATGGCATCGAAGAAAGGGAGTTGGCCCTCTATGTCTTTTTCCATGGTGAATTGTATATTTGGGTGGATGCTGTTAATGGTTTAGAAATTCTTCCAGTTTTTCTTTGCCGTGGTTCCAAATTGTTTTTTTTAAATAATTTTATTTTATTTTCAAAACTATTGGGGGTAGGGTAAGGAATACAGAAGGTAAGGGGCAATGGAAAGGGTGGAAAAAGGGTTTTGAGTATAAGAGAACATCACATATATAATCATTCAATCTCTTCATATTAAGTATGCAAGCATATGTGTGTGTGTGTTTAGTCGTTTAGTCGTGTCCGACTCTTCGTGACCCCATGGACCAGAGCACGCCAGGCCCTCCTGTCTTCTACTGCCTCCCGGAGTTGTGTCAGGTTCATGTTGGTTGCTTCGCAGACACTGTCCAGCCATCTCATCCTCGGTCGTCCCCTTCTCCTCTTGCC